TACTTTTTTTTTTTTATAAAAATGTTGGGGGGGGGGGGGGGGGGGGGTTAAACCAGAGGTGTTCTTTGTAATGCACCAGAAATGAATTGGCCAGGGCTGACACCACACACTTAGGACTTCAGAGCTGTGTTGTCATGAGTCGTGCCGTCTCTCCCATGATGGATTACAATCTCAATTCAAATTAGTAAACTAAATGTCAAGTTGTAGTCTATCATGAGAGTGAGCTTGGAGCGGTGGCTACTTTACAACACACACAGGGACCAAAAGTAGCCAACCTCCTGAAGGAAGGACAGTGTCGGCATGAATTCAGAGATGATTTGAAGATCTACAGCTGAGTGATACACGAATAAGATACATTTAATGTTAATAGTTGAGGTATTTGAATGTATTTTTAAGATTTAACTCCTGAGTTTAGTGCCACTATAAGTCTGGAATTATGCTTAGAGTCTATTTGTTTCTTTCCCATTTCCTTTTCCAGTTAAAAAGTGTCTGCAAGCAATCAAATATATTCTGCCAAAAGAAGTAGCTGTTCAAATGCTGATCAAATGGTATAACTGCCACAATGCACCTGGAGGACCCAGTAATAATTCAGAGTGGAATCTCTTTGTTACTAGTCTTATGAATATGATGGGTTACAACACTGATAAACTGTCCTGGACTCATAATGTAAGCATGTGCTCCACAAATGTTACTGACATAGGTGCTTGGAAATAAAGGCATAAGTCTCATACTGCATATATTTCATGTTTTAAATATTTTTTTCTAAATGTACAGTATATATGCATTTAATTTGGTGATTACTGTTTCATGAAGATTTGATATTCAACAGTAGTGTATCTTCTAGGTTGTTTTCTGGTGTGCAATAGTTTTCAGTAATGCAAATTTTTTAGCCACAAGAGGGTCCATATATCTAAGTCGACCAGTTCTATATGAGTAAATGATAAATGCCTGCTGCAAAAATCCTTTCGATGAACCTTATACTGAGAAAACATGTAGGCTGCCATTGCTCATCCTTTTAAAATATTATATGCTTGGCTGTATTGCTGATGCTAAGACATCCAAGCTTTTTGAGTTCTGACTTGACTAGCTGCATGCTTGTCAGTGACTTTGAAAGTATTAGGCCAAGGAACAGCCGGGTAACTAGTATTTTCAGAAGGTCAACAATGGCAGCTAATGTATTATGTAGGGATGCACCCATACCGATACTGGTATCGGTGCCGAGTATTTTTTTTGTGCAGTGATATTACTAAAGGGATTGTTCCATATAATTATTCCATATTTTTTCAATAGCTTGATTTTGAAGGCTCTCTGTCTCCTGTGATTGCTCCTAAGAAGGCCCGACCATCGGAAACTGGTTCTGATGAGGTACAAATGTGTCTCATTTTCCTGTTGAACACCATTATTTGTACTTTTATTCTATGTTTACTTTTTCTTAGCTTTTAAATAGTTTGAAAGCAGACTTAGACATTATAATTGGGGTTTTGTGTGTTTTCATTAGGATTGGGAATACCTATTACATTCAGATTACCATCGAATCGTTGAGCTGCATGTCTTGGCTAAATCTCTGCAGTTGGACACTCTAGATGTCCCAGTATCTAAAGACGATAGCTCACAGGTTTTAAATCTGGACTCAACAGCACTTCTCTTCAGCCACATTCCAGCGGTTTTCTATGTCCTCCATCTGACTTATGAGGAACTCAAACTCAACACATTGATGAGAGAGGGCATCCGCTCTCTGGTGATTCTGCTCCTGCAATTAGCAAGGTACAATCTTCCTTTCCTTTCTGCTGTTCTACTTTTTCTCTTTCCCAAGTCTGTCGGAATAGAGCCATTGTCTTTATCTTTTATACTAATAGAGAAAATATCCAATTGACGTACTGTATATATGGTAGGGATGCACCGATACTAGTATTGGTGCGGATGCTGAGTATTTGGGCGAGTACTCAAACTCGCCCAAATGCTCTGATGCCTAGCCCGATGCTTCCGTTATCAGAAAGCCGGGCAGCTCGTCATTACACACTGCCTGGCTTCCTGATTGGCCAGGAAGCCGACTCCACACTCTCACTTGTGAAGCCGGGCAGCGTGCAATGACGAGCTGCCCGGCTTCCTGATTGGTCGGAAGCTGGCCAATCAGGGATCCAGGCGCCGTGTATCGATGCAGCACCCGGCTTACTGATTGGTCGGGAAGCCGGTTTCATGCTCCCTCGTCACCTCATTACACAGCGCCCGGCTTTCTGATTGGCCAGAAAGCCGGCTCCATGCTTTCTCGTCACTTAGTGACGAGAAGCATGGGGACGGCTTCCCTTCTAATTGGGAAGCCGGGTGGCAAATCTTTACACGCTGCCCGGTTTCCCAGCTAATCAGGAAGCCAGGTGGCGAGTCATTACACGCTGCTTGACTTCCTGAATGGGACTTTCAGTATCGTCGAGTACCGGAAAAAAAATATATCGGTACTTGATACCGAAATACTGGTATCGGTGCATCCCTAATATATGGGTAATGCAATGTCTGAAGAAAACCACATAACTTGTGAGAAGATTTTAATAATATTCAGATCATATCAATATAATGAAGAGATCAATAATATTAGGGTAAAATAGCTATTTAATGAACCTCAACTGTAAAAAGTTAATACCCCTCAACTTATTACCATCCATAGAAAAGCTAGGTTATACCCAAGCTCTTGTATGAGGGGTGGGCAACTCCAGCCCTCCAGCTGTGCTTTACCTACCAATCCTATCATGCCTCTGCCTATGGGAATCATGCCTGTAACTGTCAGTCTTGCAGTGCCTCATGGAACTTGAAGTTCCACAACAGCTAAAGGGCCAGAGTTGCCCACCCCAGCTTAATCGGACATGCTTGTATGTACCTGCTGTCTTCCTTATGCTGTTCTTATTACTTATGTTTTTAGGGATTTGAATCTACACTCCTACATGGATTTTTACTTCAGAGATTTCCCAGCCTTTCTCAGGAACTCTAACCAGACTTGTCATATAGAGCCAAGTAAGTTCTGCATGACTCTCCCCTTTGTCATAGAGACTATGGTGCTATTTTATTATGTCAGATATTTGTGTCAGTCTATTAACACTGAGGTAATAGAACATGTCTACATTACTTTTAGCATCCATTCATTTGTGTGCTTTTTTTTTGTAGCCCATCTAATATGAGAGTTGGAAGGTTTTACTGTTTTTATATCATTTCAAGTTTTAAACATGATCCCATTACAGATTGTAATGAGCAAAATCTTTTTCTATGGTGTGTTTTTGTGAATGGCGTGATTCCCCATAGGTATGTTTGCTTTGTTGAGGCAAATCAAAACATTTCAACTTGCAGATTCTTCTGATTCAGTCATCATAAATTATAGCTTCAGTGTGGAATAAGTTATTTTTTGCCATTAGCTTTTTGCCTTTGGAATAAACACACAATTTTTGTCTGGGCATGTTCTGGGGGTACTCTGGTAAAGAGAAGCATTTACAAAAAGGATTTGCTCAGAGAACAGCTTTTAGAACTATATGCGTGGTGAGCAGGCTTTATATAATTTAATCGCAGGGCAGCGCAAAGCTGTCCTTTTTGGGATTCAGTTCTGTCCATAGGCTGCATTAGCTTTCTGCGTTCTACCCCTTTGTCCATGCCAGATGTTATATTATTATGAGGGATCAGCAAGGATAGCAGGATGTATAATACTTGAATGGCATGAAAAAAAAATCTGACTAATGCTAATCGTTAGAAAATTCCAGATAGCGTTTTTAAATTTTGTCTACAAAATTGCTTTAAAGTGACATTAAACTCTGGAGTTAAACCTTAAAAATGCATTCAAGCACCTTTAACTATTAACAGAAGTGTAGCTTATTGTTACAAAAACACTATCTGGAATTTACTAATTTGTATTAAGATTGTAGTCCGTCACAGGAGTGAGCTTGGAGCAGTGGCTACTTTACAACACACACCGGGACCATGGGGAACAAAAGTAGTCACCCTCCAGAAGGAAGGGCAGTGTCAGCATGAATTCAGAGATGATTGGAGGATCTACAGCCGAGTGATACACAAATGAGATACATTTTTGTTAATAGTAAAGGTACCGAAATGCATTTTTAAAGTTTAACTCCTGAGTTTTTAGTGTCACTTTAAACAGCAAGGTAACCTTATTTGCCACCATGAGTATGTTGGGGGTCTTTTTTGGTTGTTTTTTGTTTTTAAACAAAACATGTATGGAGGGAGTGAAGTACCTCTTTAGAACATTTTAGAGAATACTACTACGCTCTCTATAACCTTCCGACATCTGACCCTGAAAGGTCCACAGAGTATTTTAAACATTAAATCCCAAATATATAGCTGAGACACCCCTTTCAACTATAGATAATGAAACACAGTCAATCCTTAATGCTGCAGAGGAAGAGTTGCATACAGTAAAGGGACAAATGTGTTGGTACCTTTCCAAAAAGAACAACAGTTTTCTCTGAAACTGACGAAAGTTGTTGGCACCCATCATTATTTGCTCCATATTTAATAAAAACTCGACTTTGTGTTTGATGTTTGATTCAACAGGATAATTTAAATAAAACAAATAAAAATAGCATAGAAAAAACTGATGGGGCCCTTAAAAAAATATTTTGTTGCCCAAGCTTTAAAGGCTATCACTGCAAACAAGCAATTTCTGTAGCTCTCAATGAGACTTCTGCATTTCCAACAGGTTGTTTGGCCCACTCTTCTTGATCAAACTGCTCCAGCTGGCTTGGGTTTGAAGGGTGCCGTCTCCAGGCTGCTTGTTTCAGCTCTTTCCATAGATGTTCAATAGATTCAGGAGAATATATTTATTATTTTACAATAAAAATCATGAAAGAAAAAGAAAGTGTAGCCCCTCTGCTCATGCTACACGTAACAAAACACTTCACATTTACACATAAGAACACATCAACTATAAAAATGCACTACAGTCAAATAATGCATCCACTAAAATCACATTCTTCACTACATTTTTTAGGTTTATTATTAGGCCTGAATCCTATAATACCAACATTTTCTCCACAGGAAAATCAGTCTGACACCGGGGTCGGCTTGTAAAGCAGGCTTTAAACTGCTGCCCCCCTCCCTGTAATTCCATGTAACACGATCACTAAACAACAAGTCTGCCAGTTGTCATTTATACAGAGCACAGAGGTGGCCATTTCCTTAAAGATATTAAGAGGAAAGCTAACATAAAATGTAACTTTGCATTTGCCTGCTTCATGTTCACTCATTGTACATTGCTGGCAATGTTTTTGTTGAATACGTCTGCAAAGCTGGAAATGGGCTTTAACCTACATTATCATAATACGAGTAGTTGTCAATGGAGTTTAAAAGCCGCACTGCTCTAGGAAAGAAGCTATTTTGCAATCTGGTGGTACAAGAAGCTGTGCCTCCTACACCACTTAATAGATGGTAGAACTTTTAATAGGATTCAGATCAGGGTTCATAGAAAGCAACTTCAGAATATGCCAGTGTGTTCTTCTCGACTATTCTTGGGTGCTTTTAGCTGTGTGTTTTGGGTCATTATCCTGTTGGAGGACCCATGACTTGTAACTGAGATTTCGGACACTGGGCAGTACGTTTCGTTCCAGGCTTCCTCCATAGTCTTGAGATTTCTTTGTGCCCTGCACAGATTCAAGGCATCCTGTGCCGGATGCAGAGAAGCAGCCACAAAACTGAGCAGTCTCCATTTTCACAGTATGTATGATGTTTTTCGAAACCTTACTAGATTTAGAAAAATACCATTGTAAAACATTCTATTGGTTAGGCAGAGTAAACCTTGTGAAGATGGATATCACACCCTGGTTTTTGTATTTATTCTGGAGCATTCCCGTCGTCAAGCTCAGCACCTTTTGCAAACCACTCTCCTCTCTGACCTTATTCTCCTATCTCGCCCTAAGGCTGATTCTTTGATAATCTAGCTTTCCGCCCTGCATGCACAGTCTTATTTTTTGCGAATGGATTAAGTTGGCACATCAACACATTTTACAGAATGGTGCCCTGCCCTACATCTCTGTTATTCAACTACATTCTATACATGCAGCATCACAATGGTTCACTTTTAAAAGCAAGGCTATTCCAGTAATTTTCACCACTTCAGACCGGCCTCACAGAGTGGGGTTTGCTGACCTGGTTCATCTGTTGGTCGATCCTCTGTGGTCTTTTCCTGATCAGCCAGAGTTGTTATCTCTGGGACTCATCTTCCACCCTGCTTTTCGGTCGATGGCTTTATTGGCCTGGATGTTGAAATCTAAGTGCTGAAAGACAAGGGTGTTGCTGACCCTGTTGTTCCTACATTGCTTAAGGCTCATAAAGCCTCACCTTAAATCTGCTATTTTCATGGGCGGTTTGTGAATCTTTGGGTTCTCCCCACATGAATTTCCATAATTTGGGTTCTTTCTTTCCTTCACTTGGGGGTAGACTAAAGTTTGGCTCTCCGTACCATAAAGGGTCAAATATCTGCCCTATCTGTTATTTTTTCACTGGCCTCTGGCTACTAATGCTTTAATTTGCACTTTTTATTAAGGGGATTGTACATGTGGTTCCTCCTTTCGATCTTCATTACATTCTTAGGAGTTGGACTTGCTCTTATCAATTTTACAAAGACCACCATTTGAGCCTATTTTGTGACATTTCTTTACCACTTTTGTCTAAAAAGGTTGCTTTCCTTGTTGCCATCACTTCTGCTAGACGAGTCTTGGAACTGTCTACCACATTTGATTGTACACAAGTATAAGGTTGTTTGAAGACCTTCCTTTTTGCCAAAAGTGGTCTCCTTGCCTTTCATCTTAATGAAGAATTATTTTTGCCTTCCCCTTGTCCCACTTTAACGGGTGACAGCTTCTAAACAGCATATTTAGGATTCATGCTGTAGTAGTTTGCAAGTTCCTGCTACAGGAATCCCAAAATGCACATTCACAGCTAGTGTGAATGTAGCCTAAGCTTTCCTTTGCCCCTCAATGGACAAGAAAGAAGACTGTTGAATAATAAAGATCTCTCAAAAAGTGTCCATCAGTCTCTGCATTCTTGGCTCTTTCTGGAATTCATTCAGCAGATATTCATACAGGTACTGAGCGCCTGCTAAAATAATACCATGTGCATCCTAAAAAGGAGTTAAGCTACAGAGGGCTCTTATCAGCAGTGGTTTGGTGTAGTTAACATCTAGATGTAATATTACTTCACTGAAAAACAGGGTTATTTTCATCAAATAAGCAATGCATTTGTCAACTTTATGGCTACTGGGTGATACTTGTAAAATCCAAGAAGGCATAGAATATTTTAAAACTGAGAATTCTAAGATTTATGCATGAACATCTTTTACATTTGATCTGTCTTTTTACATTTATCATGCAGCTGAGATTGGTTTCATGAGTTATCCTTCATTTTTTACTGCTGAGCCACCAAGCATCTATTACTGGTTGAGCTCGTGTCTGAAAGGCGAAGAGGTGGCTGCTTACCCGTATGTACCTGGAACCTGTGAGAGAAGCAAGCTTGTAGTACTGGTAATGCATTGTTGCTTTAGTTTGAATCCTCAAATATCAAAAACAGCTTTTAGTAGATGTTTTGGTTTTTTGTCCATTAGTGTCTGTTCTTTGTGTGTGAAAATGGTTCTCTTCCAATACTTGAAGAATAACTGTTTTACCATTAAAACAACAAAACAAAAAATATCCTGTATGTCCATTCTCCCAATGAAATCAAAGCAGTATGCCAGGCAAGCAGCTAAATATACAGATGGAATGCATATATGAGTGCTCTTTTACCTGCCAGTCTTTACAAATTACTGTCACTGTGAACAAGTGAGAAACTTATTTCCTAGTTTTGGCTTTTGCTTCACTTTTGCCCCTTATAGGCTTCTCTCCGAACAGTGATTCTGTATTGTCACCACTATCTAATATGCAGGAGTATAATCCAGAAAGCAGGTTTGTAGAATGATGTTACTGGCTGTGCAGTATAAAAATGTGTGCAAATTACAAAATTGGCTTGACAAAGTCTTCCATCAGATAAAACAGTAAACATACATGCATTTCTACAGCATATTTAGCTTCTTGACTAGAAAATAGCATCAATATAAGTTACTATTTTACCCTAGATGAAAGTTGGTGCCCTTATAGAGATATATCTCCATGCAGGGGTGTGGAAATGTAAAAAAAAAAAAAACTACTTGTCCAAGGGCTAAAGCGGGGGCTGAATCTACTTGTCCCTCATGACAATCTACTTGCCCCAATACAAAAAAAATTGTTTTAATCAAAACTAGGGATGCACCGATATAGGTTTTTGTGTATCGAACACGAGCAATGATTCAGTTTGCCCGGGAAGCCTGCTGCATTCCATCAGGAAGCTGGGCAGCAGGTAATTACATGCTACCCAGCTTCCTGATTGCCAGGGAAGCCGACTCCATGTTGTGTGGCCGGCTCGATTGTGATTGGCCAGGAAACTGGCTTCCCAGCCAATCAGCATCGAGCCAGCCAATCAGGAAACCGTGCGGTGAATAATGGCCTGATTTGCCAGGAAACCGGCTTCCCAGCCAATCAGGAAACCGGGGTGGGTCATTAGTCGCTGCCCCGCTTTCTGATTGCATGGGAAGCTGGCTCCATGTTCCCCTACGGCACTGCCGGTTAGAGGAAATCTTTAGCTGACCAGAAGTTCCAGTATTGGGGAAGGTATCGGAGCATTTGGTCTAGTACAAGTACTTGCCCAAATATTCTGTATTGGTCCATCCCTAATCAAAACTGTATTTGACTGTGCTAAATAGTGCTTCTCATTGGTCAGCGTGGTCACCTGACCACACTGACCAATGAGTGCTTGCAATTTGCCAGCAAAATTCAATATGCATAGGACTGGACTGTACAGGCGGAGGGTATGGACTGTTCACCGAAAAGTAAGTATAGCCGGGAGAGGGGGGGTTCAGATTTGATTGGGTAATTCCATTTTCCCATATTACTTGGGAAAGGGAGCTTGCTCTTTAAAGGAGAACTATGAGGTGAGTGATTTTCACTCAGCCTCATAGTTTGAGCTGACGTGTGACAATGAAACTGTCACAGGTCGGCTCTATAGATCAGGAAGTGAGGGAACACATACCGTCCCTCGCTCACTTCTTGATCCTGTCCCTGCAGAGAGCCGTAACGGTCACTCACAGCTCCCTGCAGGGATTCCCCCCCTCCCCTCTCCAATCCTCCAGCACTGACTGGAGGAACGAACGGGAGAGGGGGCGGGTACAGCTGGCTCTGCCTCTAGATAGGCAGAGCCAGCTGTCAATCATGCAGCTGGGCGGATCTCGACAGTAATGCCAGGATCCATGTCGGCTGCGGTGTCTCAGTATATAGTGAGCTGTAGCTCGCAGTATACTGAGCTTTGGGTTTATGTCCACCCGTGACCCTTAGGGGAACTATGGGGAAAACACTGACCCCCATAGTTCTCCTTAATGCACATTGTGCGTGAAGGAGAGTGCTGCTGCTTGACAACCACAATATGGCACACAGTGGAATGGCGGCAGCACTCAATGTCCAATGCATGCATTTATTTGCATGCAGATGATGGTGGCAGTGGGGTTGGTTTCAACTTTTTTTTTTTTTTT